AGAAACAGTAGATCTTGCCTGTCTGCTTTTTGTTTAGCTGTTCAGTAACTGGATAAACATTAACCAGCTGGATAGTGCAATTATAATTTTTTTTAAGGTACTGTAAATGCTTGCAACAGCATAGTATCTGGCAGCCTCACAAATATTAATGAATGCATTCTTGTTCCACTCACGCTATTAAAAGTGATTAAGTAGTTTCACAGAGGTCATGCAGAAAATGAATGGCAGAACCAAGCACCGAGGAAAATCCAAAGCTTTTTTACTAAGAGATACTTTTTAAGACATCCCACAGCACAAACAGAAATAAGCAGAAGAAATACAATTAGTGGAGGAATTGACATTGGGCACTAATTATTTACTATGAGCCTGAATGTACTTAGACACCATTTCCAATGAACTCGGCAAACAGCTTGCTCAACAAGATCAGGAGTAAGGGTTTAGGATTTGGATTAAAAACACACAAAAAAGTAAACACTAATATCCCCCTCTAGGGAAATCATCTCTACTAATTATTTGCCTACAGCTTTCCTCAGTATTGCAGTCTAAACTGCAATTGTAAACATGGGTCCATTGTTCTGTAACAAACAACTCAGGCACTTTTAGGAATTTCTTGCTAAAATGTATTAGAGCAAATTTAAGTTTTGCAGTTATTATTAACTCTCTACAGAAAGGACAGAATTTGTACTGAAAATAAGGGAATTATCAATATTTGGAGACAAATATATGGGAATATCTCTGTTCATACATGGGAATGTCTCTGTTAATTGTGTTAGCTCTAAAGATAACAAAGTCATCAAACACAATGGCTGAGACTATTGTTGTAACAGAATTTTCAAATGTTGAAAACTATTCACAAGTGTTATCAAATGGCACCCTGAAAGGAATAAACTTTTTTGTTGTTATTTTTGCTCTCAAGCTTTTAAGTGTCATGCTCTTTTATGCAAAAACTATTTTTTACGTTATTCTCAAACACCTTGGCCTATACGTATTTTTGTTGTGTCTTACAAATGCATACATAAATAATGACAAATACAAACTAATTCACATTTTATGAAGATGTATTTAGCCCTGATCAAAATTTAAAGTATTCTTTTTTCCATTAAAGTTATGTATTTTTTGTTTGTGTTCAGTGGTGACTAGAAAGTTTTACATGTGCTTCTTACTCAAAATACAAAGGTACAAATGCTGTAAGAAGATTCTCAGCATTTTCTTATATTGTGTGGAGGGGAAAAAAAGCATAAGTACTTACGATAAGTATAAGCACCTTCTTTGGCAAGTATTTATGTTGACACATGCCAGTGAAGCCTCCTAGATTGTTCTACTCAAAATTAGTAACTATGCCAAATAGTTCTTGTTCTTTCTCTGATTGGGACACTTTTTATTTCCTTTTAAATGGTTTTGTTTATTTCATGTATTTTTCATTTTCTTTTGTAGGATTTAGAGGACTCCTAGAGATGACAGTGACATAAATACGCTTTTTGTGTAGAGGGATATTTTTAAATAAGAAGTGGTCAATGGTTTAGTTGCTAAGAATAATCAGCATCTAGTATTGAACAAGTTATGAATGGGAGGAAACTCCTATGAACTTATATGTGGGCTTTTGTTTTATTTTTCATTTATTTGTAGGAAAAACTGATCAATCAAAATGAAACTTCTCTCAGTGCACACAATATACTGTGGCAGGTCACCACAGGCCATTCACATCTCTCCTGTCTTTAACATCCATGGCTTCTTGGTATAGAGGACAGAGATTCTGCTTCCTCCTGTTTTAGGTTAGATTTATCCTACCTTTTGTTTGTACTCTTGTTAGACTACACATCTGTAATGTTTCAGAAATTATAGGCTCATAAGGAATTTGGCTTTCCATAAAAGGTCCAGGACCAAAAATGGAAGGGTGCAAAATTTCTCATTAAGGCTGTCAAGGATTAAGATACCTTCACCTGGGGTTCTGCTGTGGAAGACACTGCAAAGGAAGGAAAGGTATGAGAAAATTACAGATGTAGCAGTTGTCTGTTCTGGAACAAAAATATGCCAGACCAGGGCTGTTATGTTTCTCAGCACAGCCACTCAGAAAGTACTCTCCAGACTGACCTGAGAGATATGTTCCCAACCTGTGACAAAACCCAAAAAAAGCCTTGCAGTGACTTGCAACTTGGTACCGAGGAACCACAGAGAACCAGCAGCCTGAGTTGAAGACTCATACAGAGATTCTGCTATTCTGATGAAATTTATGTATTTTTTGATCCCTGTTAAAATGTATTGGTCAAGAGTAAAAATATAATTGTGGTACACAACATAATTTTTAATAGTTATTCTGATGGATTGTATAGGAAATAAAATTACATTTATGGCTATGCATTGTGAAACATATCAGTGTTAGCTACAGATATGTTTGAGGCAAGTTTTCTGTATTTAAAACACTTGAAATAATCTTAAATTGGTGCATAATACAACACCAGAAAAGCACATTCTATATAATGATTTGGAGTCAGTTTTGTCCCTGCTGCATTCCCCTTTCTGCGATCTTGGATGCAGCTGGGAGGAGGAGGAGGATTTCATGTGAGGAACCAGAAGAAATGGGGGTTTCAGTGCACTGGCCTTCATATAGGCGCTTGCAGTTTGTACAGGAGTCTTTGGCCTCTTCCACCACCACCTCCAGAACTACCTTCATTCCGATTCAGCATTGGAAAGGGAGCACTTCCTTCCTTTTTCCTTCTCATCTGCGTCTCCCAAAAACAAAACGGAAAGAGGAGATATTTATCATTTCTAGGCATGCAATCCAGTAGGATTCTCTTAATGAGATCAAATGCACAACAGGTTTCTGTAACTAGCCAAGAGGCAAGTAATACCTACTGCAGTGTATTAAATGTGTGTGAACTTTGGGGCAGCAGTGAAGCTGATTATTTCAGACTAGACTAGTGCATTAATTTTATATGGGGTCAGTTCAGCTTCATAGGTGGAAATGGTTCCTACTGCACTGTACAAATTCTCCAGTCCTTGTGTGGACCTTGCTGGGAAGTGAAAGAAAGTAAGTTAAACAAAAGTCAGGGACAGTACATAACCAATTATTTCCTGCACTCTTGCAGCTTGTTCCTCTGAAGTTCCTCATCTAGCTAATCCAAAAGGTGGACAAAGTTCATCTCAGCATTAGCAATCTAAAATCAAATCTCAGCTGAGATTAATTTGCATGAATAATGAAAGCTGTTTTCAAGTGTGGTATTTTTTAAAGTAAGTGCTGACATTTTTATTTTTCTGGGGCACTACCTATGACCCTCTTGGCTTTGTTTTGTGCTTTGAGGTTCAAACTAGTGACCAGCTGGATAGAGCTCCCTGACCGCTGTAGAAGCAACTGAGGCAGATACTTAAGACTGAGAATTATTTAGTCTGACAAGCAATCAGTAGGATATTTTCAGAATAATAAATCAAACTTACACCTCTGGACAGACAGGACAGGGAGATCTAGAGCACTGATTTTTGTGCCCCTGCCCTGATGAGCAGAGGTGCCACAGCCCATTGTTGACTTTACACCAATCTCAGGCTGACTGCCATCATTTGGATCCAAGTGACATAGATTTGTCTGGACTGCTATATAATCAGGCAGGGCACTGAAAAACCCAGTTTTACATTTCTACAACAAAAAAGGTTTTCCAGAGAAATCCAGTGAAGATGGGCCTGCCTCTCAGCCATTGGAATAGACTACCCAAAGGCTGACAGGCAGACCAGAACACACACTACAACTTTTAAGTTATTCAGCACCATCCTCATTCCTGAGGCGCTCGTGCATGACAAACTGGGGGTGCTCCATTCCTCCAGCTGTCCAGGAGGCCGCTCTGCAGCAACTCCCTCCCCCTGACAGAAACATGGAAGGCTCACTAGGGCGAGGCCATAACATTCCCATCTGCAAACAGCATTGAAATTAATCCAGAAAAAAACAAGATTTTTTTTTTTCCCCTGCAGTTGTTTCTAGTGCATAATCTGGGGCACAAAAAACACAGCCATGCAGCTCGACTCCGAGCACAGGCCCTCGCGAGGATGTTGGACAGAAGCGGTTTGGCAGGTGGATGCTGTTCGGCAGGTGGACAGGGTAGTGGCATCTTTTCTCGGTGCCACGGGGGCAGCATTTTGGCATCTGCGTGCACTTTTAAAAGCAGCCTCGGCTCTGCCAAGGTACAAACACGTGGAAGGGTGTGCCAGGCTGCAGCTGGAACTTCAGCCCTCGCGCAAAACCCGCCGCGCTCCCAAGGATAGGGGTGGAAAGTGGGGCCCGCGGGTGGGCGGTGTGTGTGTTAAATTACTACTTTTAAAAGGAGATATTTATTGTTATTCCCTCCTGAAGTCAGGGGCGGGATTTTTCCCCTCAAGATCTTAAGGTCCCCCCCTACCTCCGCCCCTTCCCCCCGCCCCCCAGCCAGGGGAGGCGGGAGGCCGCCGTACCTGGCGCCCTCTGCCCGGGGAGGAGCCCCGACGGCCGCGCCCGCCGCGCAGGTGGGCACGGGTGGGCAGCGCTGCGGCTGCCGAGGCTGGGGGTCCCCGGTGATCCCGGACTTGCCTCGCTGTCCGAGCGAGCCGGGAGCGCCAGGGCAGGGGCTCGGCGGCCGCCTCTCCTCCCCTCTCCTTCCCTCTCCCCTCCCTTCGCCGGGTCCGGGTCCGGAGCTCCCCCCGAGCCGCGGGGGCCGGGAGGACTCGGCGGACAAACTCGGTGCCGCGGGTCGCCCCCGGCCCCGGGCAGCGCCCGGCCGGCGGGGCAGGGGGGCACGGTGCGGCGGGGACACCCGCGCCCCTCAGATGGGCTTACTCACGGCGGCGGAGGAGGAAGCGAGGCTGCAGGTCAGGCACAGCCTGTGCGTGGTGCTGCTCTTCTGTTTTGTCAAGCAGAGGAAAAACGGGTTGTTTTCAGGCGGCGGTGAATGGGAAGAACTTTTTTTTTCCTAGTTCTCGTCCTTGCTGGAATAGGTCACCTGAGAAAACGGGCTGAGCGATTGTAAAAGCTACTGTGTATTAAATACTTATGTATTTTTTGGAAGGGGAATGCTGGGGGAGTGTTGGAAAGAAACTCTTAAAGGTGTAATAATAATTAACATGGATAAAATGGGGACTAAAATCTTGTCACTTTTACATTAGCCTGTTGGCGCTAATGCAGAGCAGCAGGGAATGTATTGATAAAAGATATCAGAGAGGGTTTTATTACTCTTTGGATATGCTCGGAGTTTGCGAAGGCACAGCAGCGGTGGGTTATGTGACAGCTTCCATCTCTGCGGTATGGAGGGAGGGTGGGTTTGTATCCTTCGAGAAGTTAATGAATTTCAGAATAGGAAGGACACATTAGACCAGCATGTTTTTGGTTTGTGGTTTTTGTTGTTGTTGTTGTTCTGAAAGTGGAATATTATTAAGCAAGGTTCCTGAAAGATAGCAAAATAAGACTGATTTAGGAGATAAGACACTGATATGAGATAAAGGTTGATGATTTCAATACAGAACAGGTTTTGGACACTCTGAATTTAAGGGTTAAAGTCTACAAGAGCTCCTACTGATTCAGACTTAATTTGTGATAACAGTGATAACCTGTTGTTGCTCATTCTGCATGAATCAAATCGTTGAACTGCTTCCTGATGCTATCAGTGTTTTCAGTTTCTCCATCTGTATATCCAGCACAAGTTCCTGTTTATTTAACAACGTGCGTTTCTTTATTCACTTTTAACGTCTTCAGTTCGAGTACTTTGTACTGAAAGACAAGCTACAGGGCAGATGATCACGGAAATGAATATAACTTTATTCTGTGATGGCAGTCAGAGCTGGGACACTTGTTAGGTATGTGTGCGTGGGGATGGTTCCCGTTCACTGCGTGAACCTGTGACCCAAAACAGTGTCCCGGCTGGAATGTGCAGGCGGTGCAGACGCTGCTGCCACCCACGGCTCGTACGGGACATTGCCCGGAGTGCAGCGGAAAGATTGAGTCGGCTTTGCCATCAGGACCGGCTTCCATGAGCAAGATAACATATGAGAAGCTCAGTGTGGGATTCATAAGGCAGATTGCGTAAGTGTGTTTTGCAAAATTGATGGGATGCTTTGGCTGTTTCGCTGTAGATGACGGTGACAAAATCTGGGTTTGACTCATAACCAGAAAGAATTCAGTAGGAGTTGATGCTTTTCCTGTCGAAGATATAGGTTAGGGAATGGGGCTTAGCGGCCAACATGCAAGTGCTCTTGATGTTAAAGTGACATCGTTATTAAATATTTTTAAGTGTTATTTGCAACATCTTATTAATATTAAGGGTCCAGTTGGCAGAGTGGTATATGAAACTGCACAGAAGTGTGGGTACCTGTACCAGCTTGTGATAAAGGGTGAAACTTATTTTTCTTTTTTAACCAAGGGTAGATATTCTCTAAAGACAGGAGTGTATAAATAGTTTGATCAGCTTTGCATACAGACTTTGGTTGCTTGGGGGCAGATGCAATGCTTAATTCATTAGCTGCAGTTCTCAAGTTACTGCTGGTTTGGATCTATTCCTGAAAATGATTGAGAAGCACTAGAAATTCAGATTCTGTGATTGTAGTGCATTGAAAAAAGCAACATATGACTGTATTTATCAAGTCATGTAGTATAATAGAAAGCAACTTCCTCTTTTTTTCACTCTCTCCATCAGCACTTTCAGGAGAAAATATAATAAAGATACTGTAACATCTCAACTTCAGTTACTCCACTAAGGGATGTACAGTCATTGTACTTGGACCCTGTAAATAATGACTACTAAATCTGAATTTGCAGAAAGTATTTGGATAGTTGTTTTTTAACAGCAAATCAAAACATAGCAGTGTAACATCTCAGCAATCACACCATAAAAGTCAGCAGTGTTTGCTGAATGTCTTAACAGAACATAGTCAGATCCTAATAGATGCTCTTTATACTTAGTGATTTAGCTGCTTTATGAGACCAGTATTTTGGAAAACTCCTTGTCCTCTAAAAAGAAGACCTTGAATGGAAAACAATCTTAGACATAACAAATAGAAAAGTATTTGCACATTTTAAGAGATAGATGTTAAGAGATGTTAAGAGCTTCAAAGTAAAATAACATAATTTACTATTTTCTGTTATATTGAAAAGAAATATTAACTGATGTCAAGTAATAAATAGTTTAATAATAATATTTTAAAATATTTTACCTCCAAAAAAAAACCAAAACGATGAAAAGATTAGTGTGAAATCTCTTTGTATGCTTGTTAGTCATCACTCATCTATAAGAATTACAATATTTTTCAGAAGCATCTGCTTTTGTGGAAGCTTTTCTTCTCTGTGCTCAGTGACTGGGAAAAGTTCAGTTCAGTCTTCAGAAGTAGGTGAGACCGGACAGGCTCAGTTGGCTCCCTTACCCTTGATTTCCATAAGTTACTGCTCCTGGATGTGTGTGAGCATCTACTGTGTTATTACATGCAGTTCATTTAAGGTCTAATAAATGAGATCACAGATGAAAAGCTGAAGCTCTGGGAAAAATGATACTAGGCTCTGCTGTGCCAGAATAAAGATTCCAATCTTCTTCGGACTATATGTAAAATTAGTGTCTTAATAAACATAATAGTCAAGTATAATATCCAGCAAAGTCTTTTATCTAAAAATCTTTGTTACTCCCATTACACTGAGTTACTAGTGGTTGCAGTGCAGTATTGAGATGCAGCTTTCTGCAATGCCTTTACCACTGTTCTTATAGATCTTCCTCAATTAGTTTGTGTTCTTACACAAAGTAGTTACTGTCTTTGAAAGACTGAAGCTTTCTGAAAAATGGCTTATAGTAGCAAAACCTTAATGGTACTTCACGATTGCTCTTTCATCTGTGGTCATTCTGCATCAGGTTCGTCCAGTGGCTTTGCAGTCAGGATAAACAGAGGTACAAACAGTGCAAACAGAAAAAAATGTCCTTGGGGCTTCCAGATTGGAGAGAAAGAGACTGTATTTTTAGACAAAATTGTATTTTTTTAATATGCCCACCTTGATTTGATTTCTGAGATCATCAAGTGGGCTTACTCAGTATTACATACATGACAGCTGTAAAACTGCCTTTGGATTGCTTTGAAACTATGTGAAACAGCTAAAGAATTTTCATAAGGTGTGAAAAGCATGTTTTCATGCCATTGTAATTGAGACAACAGCTGTAATGGATTTCGCTACCAGATATACCTCTGTCTCAAATAAGATCACACATGGAGAGCCTGATTCTTCTTTGCATTGACACCAGGTCATCTTTCACTGCTGTTACAAATAGATGTATAACCCTCTGTGATTGAATGGTGTCATTTTGTAGCCAGCCCAGACAGAGAAGAGCAACATAACAGCTATGCTATAGAAAATAGTATAAGTGATAAAGTGAAAAACAGAGGAAAACTGGGCCAAAGGTCCTTGGAAGATTAAGTTCACTAAACATAAGAACAGAAAATTCAGCATGAAAGCATTTGCTCAGTCTTGACCCTGCTCTTACAAGTGTCTAAGCAAACTAAACAAACTGTGTGTCTGCTCTGCAGCTTCTGTGTAATGGATATGCTATATCCTTCATTTACACTGTTGGCCTTGATAAATGGAAGTGTTGGCTAGAAATTGCAGTGCTTCTGCTTGATTCATAAGAGAGGGGTAAAATGAACAAAGTGAATGAACAGGTTTAGAGATAGTAACCCCTTTGTGCTGGTCTCTTTCACAAGCTATACACAGGTCTGTAAATGCCTGTTGTACCATTTAACTTTTTCTGCTTATTATATCATGTTTTCCTCTCTTCATTATAAGTAACAAAAAAGGGAAAAAGAGGAGAGCAGAATGTGGTACTGGATCACAAGGGAGGTACTGGGGTCTTTTGTTTCTCCTTCGTATCCTCTTGTTTGAAAGGTATAATGTTATTGCTTTCCTAATTGTCATAGTTTTGTGTAGGGAAAAATGTATATTCATGAGTGCTATTGACTGTATACAAAATAGTCCTGACAGTTTTGGGCTTTAGTCCAAGTCAGTTACACTTTTTTTTGTATGCTAAAGAAGAAAAGAAATAACACTATTTCTTTTTAAAATCTACATATCTGCTGTTGAGTTGAGTCAGTTGAGTAGACACGTGAAGAAAAAAATCATGAGGTGCATAAAAGGCAAACCAGGCTTACATATGAAGAAAACCAACTGGGGTTTTAGCAACTTATTTTCAGAGGGAATGTTTGCTCCTCTTGGGGGTGCATGAATTGCTGCAAAAATATCTGTCAAATTCTGCCCAGGATTTGGACAGAAAATTGATTTAATTGGTCAGCTGTGTGAGTGTGAACAGCTCATCACATTTTAGTAATGTTACTTCTGTTGCTGCAGCTTGTATTTCCTTGAGTATTTTCAGAATTAAACCCTAAAGAACTGACCTCACTTTTACTGAAGATAAAGGAAAATTTAGCATTAAAAAAATAGTTAAGAGATGAATTTGTCCCTAAATTAGTAAAGTGGCGGAGGGGATGGAGACTATCTCTGTAGTGTACCATGTAAGTGGTGGATATGGGGCCTAACAGGGCATTTAATGCAGAATGAAAGCCTTATTTAGCCTTGAAATTACTAAGTAGCAAGGAAATTATGCAAAAGCAGATTGTACAAAATATTCTTGGATCAAGTGATCATGAGTTTACATTGACTTAACAGTAGGATAAATGATGCAGTGCCATGTGGGGATACTTGAGCTTGCTCTGAACAAGCTGTACCAGGAGCTGTAAAAGCCTGGTGTAGCTGCAGAATGAGTATACTGTAGTCGCTTTGCTCCTTTCCTCTGCCCAGACTGTTTTACCTGGTGGGTTTTTTTCCAATACTTCAGTCTTTTATCCAATCCATCAGATGGAGCTTTACACATTGGCATTGATACTTACCAGCTCCAGTCAGGATATACCTCCTGATACCTCCTAGAATCACATTTCCTGTTGTTTTCAGAGCTGGATCAGCCTAGTTCTGCATTTCTTCTCTTTTTTTCTCAGTACTAGCAATCTGTGCTGAACCTCTAGTATCATGCAGAACTAGATACTTATGTACCATGTGCCATCTTTCTTTTGCCAGAGCGGAAGACTCTACATTTTAAATTAAATGGCTTCTTTCGCCTTGCCTTGCATCAGCAGCAGGCAACATGTGAGGTGAATGGTGAGAAGGACAAAGCAAATGTAGAGAAGAGGAATGGAGAGACTGGAAAACGACTAGAAAAGAGGAGAAATATTCAAAGTAAAATATAGAGGAAAGGCCAGATCCAGACTGAGCAAAGTGAAAGCTGGAGTCCGAAACCAGCATAGAACTTGACACCAGAATTAGTGGAAATGAGTGATCCCTTGTCTTTACCCTGCTTGGTCTGATGGTAGCAGATACTGGCTGCACTAGAAGAATCCTTGGGAGAGGATTGTGATCTATGTGTTCAAAGAAGGAAAACTGTTGAAAACCACTTTGGTCCTCTGTGTCTTTGATAGACACAAATGCAAAAAATACTCCACTGACATTAACCTCTAGAATTATTTTCCTTCTTCCTCAGGCAGCAAAGTTATTTTTTGATTTCTGGTGTTCATTGCTTATGCTGTGTGTAAAGCTAGGTATCAATCTCAGTTTCCTCTCTGAATAAAATGAATTTCACAAAGATTTACAGCTGAAGTCCTCTAACAAGTCAAAGGGCTGAATATTGTTTTTTTCTGAGAACTTTGTTTTATTATCAATTCAGAACTAGGCCTACAAATCAAAACATCTTTTGTCAGGGATTTTTTTGTTTTTGTTGCAGTTGCGACTGCAATTTGTTGTTCATTACACAAAGTGAAATTCTTGTCCTGAGTAAATGGATGTAAGTTTGGAAGTAGATATTTTATGCATTGCCTTTAAAAACAGCTAACAATTTGCTGTACAAGAAGGCATATTTACACCTTTATGCACATCAAAATTTTGACATCAGCTTTGATGCTTAAGGGACAGTGAGAACATTGTATTTTATTTTTTCAGAACAATGAATTAGTTAAAATGCAAAAGAAACAGTATTATGGTAGCGTAGCAAGGCTTCCTTAATAGCATAG